GTTAAAGCTTGCCCAGGGGGTCCGGCTCCTCTCCCTAGTTCTATTCACCCATGTGCTGCTTTCAACTCCTCCGCCTCCTCCGTCCTCCTTCGCATCCATATGCAATCTCGTCCTGGCAACTTTCGCTTGCGCTTTGACGACACCACACCAGCGGAATTATGAATCGAGCCTCGATGTGAGAAAGATGGCGGGCACAAACAAAAACAGTAAACCGCCTCCGCCTACTCCGCCGACCCTCCCTGTCCCCCTCTTCCCCATCCTCCTCCTCCTCAACCTCCAGCGCCCCGAGGCTGTCCTGGGGACTCCAGGCCGACACGCGCGTGTCCCGGCGGCGCGAGGCTCGGGGGCCTGCCTGGGCCCACCGTTCGTGCCGTGCGCCCGCGCGTGCCCCTTGCCCCCGTGCTCGAGACGTGCACGCACACCCCACCGGGTCAGGGCTGTCGCAGGCTGCCGCCACCTTCCAGCCTACCTGGGCCCGCCGCTGTGTGCGCGTGCCAGGTGCGTGCGTGGCAGCACGGGGCGTGGCGGCACATCCTCTGTTGGAACGCGGGCCTCCAGATAAGATGTCGAAGAGCGCCACTCACGATCACATTTGCTTCTGGAAGGCCGCCATCACGCAGACGGCGGCGGGCCGGACAGTCGCCTCCTGCCTGCCCCTCGGCCGCTGCGTGCGACCGATTCCGAAGTGATAGGCTTGGCCCAGCGGCCAGTAGTAAAAGAACAAATAAACGCCCCCCCCACCCCTCTTAACAGGAGCCAAAAGCGTCCGATAACCTCGGTCCTTGAAATTTGCTCCTCGACACCTCCTCCCCCTTCTCCTGCTCCTCCTCCTCCCCCTCCTCCTCCTCCTCCTCCTTGTCATCCTTCTCCTGCTCTTCCTCCTCCTCCTCCTTCCCCTCCTCCTCCTCCTCCTGCTCTTCCTCGTCCTCCTCCTCCTCCAAGGCCGTCCACGGCGACAGCGCAACCGAAGACCGCCCGAACCGACCGCGAACACACAAGCCGCGTCTACCAGAAGCGGCCGAGAAGGACGCAAACGACGCTGCAACGACGCAACGCAACAACCGACCGAACCGAACCGATTCGTCCGAACGAAGCCGACTGCGACGAAGCCCATCCTCCTGCCCCACCCTTCCCAGGCGATCCTCCCGCCCACCTCGACCTGCAAGTGGCGCTGGGCTGCACGAGCCGATACCAAAAAGGCTGCGGCAGAGGAAGGCCCAGAAAGGCTCGACGAAACGGACACTCGGCCCCTGACATCTGCCGATGTGTGTCTTCAGTGCGCGGCACCAGAAGTCCGGACCCCCTCTGGGGCCAGCTCGTAGCCCCCAGTCTGTCTTTTGGTGGCTCTGGGGCCCGATGATGGCCCCCGATGCTGGCCCCCGAGGGCCGAAACCGCGGGGAAAAAGAAGGCGGTTGAAAAACATCGGGTCGTCGGAGATCTGATGCCCTCCCCCTCCGAGGCGCCGGGTGCGCCAGGGTGCTTCAGCGCCCTCTCCTTGACGACCAGCGCTACACCGCCTGCGCCGCCGGTGGGGTGAGAGGGCAGCCCCCCGCGCGTGGGGCTTCCAGCGACGGCCGCGCGCAGAAAGAAGGTACCGGGGTGGCGGAGGAGGAAGAGGAGGAAGGAAGAGGAGGAGGAGGAGGAGGAGGTTTTTTAACATCAACAACCACAACGCCAGCGACCTGGCGGACTCCGATGAGCAAGCTCAACGCCACACAGCCCAGCCAGGAGGCTGAGACTGCAGGGCAGCGCCACAGTCGGGGCCGTGCCCCCGTGGCGTGCCCTGAGCGCGACCAGGGAGCGCAAGGAGACCGTGCTCCGCGCACCCTGGTCGGGGTAGGGGGCGCCGGAGCACGTGCTCCGACGCCCAACCTACCCACCACCTACTCCATAGGTGGCCGCGGTTTCGGACCCCGGGACCCCCAGGACCGAACCAAAAAAGGGGACCACGACACGACGCGACACGACGGGGGGACGAAACGAACGACGCGACACGAACGACACGACACGGACGAACGACACGACAGAGACGAGCCGCCGGTCCCGCCCCAGGGCGGCGAGTGCTGGGGGGAACCAGCACCGCCCTGGGGGAGGCCACGGGACCTGGCGACCCCCCCGGGGGAAGGAAACCGCACTTTGGCGGCGTCCCCCGGGGTGCGGGGGCTTTTCGCCCCTCGGGCCCGGCGCTCCCCGCCTGCGCCAGGGAGGAGGAGGAGGAGGAGGAGAGGAGGGGAGAAGGAGGAGGGGAACAGTGACGAGGAGGAGGAGGAGGAGGAGTAGAGGAAGGAGGAGGCGGACGAGGGGCAGGAGACGGAAGAATTCGTGCGTGTGCTCTTTACCCTGTTGCGATGCTGCTCCGATCCCCCCATTGCCACTGCTGCCACCTTTCCCTGCCCAGCAATGGCCATCATTGGGAGATGTTAGCGGACGCAGGACATCGCCTGGCTGCAAAAGGATTAGGCCCCCAGCCAGACGACAGGGACCAAGCCCACCAGTGGATGCAGCACTCGACCTTTCGGCCTAAGGAAGCTGTGGATGGGCGAAATGGCGTGGGACCCTGCACCTTGCACATTAGGGAATTTCTCTGGCAGGGTCTGTGGGGAGGTCACCGCCAATCCGACCCACTCTCCTATCGCTCGGGGGCGCGGGGGGGGCTATGGTGAAGCGCTGCGGGCCTCTGCTGACTAGCAGCCCGACCACGTCGGGGCGGGGGGGTGCGCGACCACACGCGACCTGGTTTTTGGACAAAGCCCCACGGCCCTGAATGCACTGCCACTGACTGCGTTTCACAGTGTTGAGGGAATGACGAACACCCCACTCGTTGAAGCCTTTGGCGGCAGGCTCTCTGGGCTGTGATCGGAGGTTGAGGGGTGAGATCGCAATGGAACGGAGACCCCCAACCGGGAAATCGTTTCGTTTCGTTCGTGTCGTGCGTGCGGGGGAGGCGAAGCTCCGTGTGCGCGCGAGAGGAATGAACCCGCCGCTGCTAGGGAGATGTGAAGGCAAATGATTATCCTCCGCCCGCCCGTCCGGCGGTGGCTCGCGGTGTCCCGCGGTGTCCCGTGGTCTCCCGTGGTGTCCCGTGGTGTCCGCCGTTGCTAGGGCGAAGTCAAGACAAATGATTCTCCCCCGCCCGCCCGTCCGTCCGTCCGTCTGGCGGTGGCTCGTGGTGGTGTCCCGCGGTGTCCCGTGGTGTCCCGTGGTGTCCCGTGGTGTCCCGGGGTGTCCCGTTGAGTGAGAACGATAGTGAGATCGATAGTGAGATCGATAGAGAGATCGATAGTGAGATCGATGTGGTGCCCCGAGGTGTCCCGTGGTGTCCCGTGGTGTCCCGTGGTGTCCCGTTGAGCCATATCGATAGTGAAATCGATCATGAGATCGATACTGAGACCGATGTGGTGCCCCGAAGTGTCCCGTGGTGTCCCGTGGCGTCCCGTTGAGTGAGATCGATAGTGAGATCGATAATGAGATCGATACTGAGATCGATGTGGTGCCCCATGGTGTCCCGCGGTGTCCCGTGGTGGCCCGTGGTGTCCCGTGGTGTCCCGTTGAGTGAGATCGATAATGAGATCGAAAATGAGGCCGAGTGTGAGATCGAGAAGTCTCCCGCGATGTCCCGTGGTGTCCCGTGGTGGCCAGTGGTGTCCCGTAGTGTCCTGTTGAGTGAGATCGATAATGAGACCGATAGTGAGATCGACAAGTGTCCCGTTGTCCCTATTCTTTTAACACGGGCTCAGCTCGTTAAGCCCAAGTGGCGAGCGAGCGAGGGAAGGGGATGAGGTGGAGGAGGAGAGAGGAGACAGACAAGAGAAGGCGGAGGAGGAAGAAGCAGAGGAGGGGGAGGAGAAGAAGGGGGAGGCGGAGCGGACGACGCAACAACGACGACGACGACAAGTACGACGACGACGACGAGGACGAGGACGGCGACGAAGACGAAGACCACGGCCACGACCACGAGCCGCGTGGGCTTTCGCGCCGCGCAGGTGCCGACCTGCCCTGCCTCCTCCGCACTCCCGCTCGAGGAGGAGGAGGACGAGGAGGAGGACGAGGACGATGACGGCGACGACGACGACGACGATGTGTTGCTTCATGTCGAAAGGGTTATGCAAATGTGGGACCGGCCCTCAGACGCGAAGAGGTGGCTGCAACCCTTCGGCTTCGCGAGGTTGCCGAACATGTGCATGACAATGCAGTGTACAAGACTACAAGGACACGCAGATGAAGATGATAAGATGAAGATGGAAAAGGTATTACACATGTGAAGAAGAACATGCAACTCATGCACATCTTCACAAAATGGTGATCATGCTAAACCCTGCCCAGCCCCCCATGGAGGCGACCTTTGACCGACGTAGCCATCTCGCGAACACAGGACAAGAGGCACTCGCATCGTGTATATCGCACACAAGCACCAATGCAAACTTCAAGAAGTTCGGAAATTGTCCTCCCGATGCCGTGAGGGTCGTGGCTTCACTCACGTCTCCAGCTAAGATCGCGTCCATCAGTCCCTGCGCTTTGCGAGTCACCTCCATGGCCCGCACCAGGCCCTCCTGCGCTTCCTGGTACATGTTGTGCACATTACTCCTGCGGACCGGCATCTCGGGCTCGAGGGAGGACATCGTCGCGCACCGTTGGGCACGCTGGCACAGAGCCTGGGCCTCCAGAAACTGCGCCCGCACAACGTCTCGATACTCTCGCGCCTCCAGAAACGCATTCGCCGCCGTGACGACCTTGAGTTGTAGAATCGGGCAGAAGTTCGGCTCCATCTCGGGACATGACGAAACAGCCGCACCCGTCGGTCGGAGGAAGTAGGTAGGAACATGAAGTAGGAAGGCGTTGAAAGTAGATTGGGTTCCGTCCGCCCCCTAAGGAGGGCGGAAAAGGTGAAGCCACTCAATCATTGAAGTAGGACGGCGCTTAGAGTAGAGTGGAGTCTGGGAACCTGAAAAAAATCTACTTTCGACGACCGATGGGTAGCCATGGTCCCCCGCTGCTGGAGTGAATCATCTGTGCTTGAGCCCTTCCCAATCGGGCCGCCCAGCGGGGCAGCCGTCGTGCTGTCATATTTTGCGCCCCCCACGGAGACCCAAACACATCACGGTATGTGCATCGATCGTCTTGAGATGCTTCAAGTAATACGCCGAGAAGGTGCTGACTGGTGTAGGGCCAGCGCCCTCACGAGGTTGAACATCAGCGGCTCCTGCGGCGGCGCGGGGATAACCATCGTCGTGTGAATCGGTTCTAGCGGCGGCCCGAGGATGACCGCTCTCGGCTCCAGCTGCAGCATCGGGAGGGTCCTCATCGTGAGCATCGGCGTTCCCGGTAATTCGAGAACGACCCACAGCGGCACTGAAGCTACTGCCACCGCGGGCACGAGCTCTGGTGGAAACGTCAAAATGACCTCCCTCAGTATGGGCCGCGCTCCCCACCGCGACGGGAGGAACACCGACGGCGCCAGCAGCGGCACGACGATGAGCTCCAGCGTGGGCGCCGGCTCCAGCAGCACGAAGGGACCCTCAGCGACTCCAGTGGCGGCCTAACGTCTATCATCAGCGCGTGCATCGATTTCACCAGCGACTCGACGGTGGCCATCGGCGACTCCGGCTGCCATGAGGTTGGCACTGCAGCAGACCATCGATGCACGGCTCCAGAGAGGTCCGCGTAGGGAGCCAGCTCCTCAGCGTTCAGACCTCGCTTATCTAGTTGCTCACTTCGCGGAAGAGATCTCGGATGGCCCGCCGAGCCAACGCTTCAGTAGAAAGAGTCTGGGCAATATAGAACTCACGAGCGCGAGCTCCCCTAACCGCGACTTGCTCAAGCCGAATACGACTTGAGCCACAACAACGACAACGACACCGACGACGACGACGACGATGACGACGACCGTGCGCCTGCCAGGGCGGCGCCCAGCCCCCTGGCCGTGAGGCCCGAGGTCAGGCCGCCCGCGGCGTGGGCGGCTCCTTTCCCGGGAGGAAGGTGGGTACGCTGAGGCGTCGACGCGCCAAGCCACGCGCCAGCCTCCTTTTCCTCCTCCCCCTCCTCCTCCTCCTCTTCTTCTTCCTCCTCCTCCACTTCGTCCTCCTGCTCGTCCTCCTCCTCCTCTTTCTCCTCCTCCTCTTCCTCCTCCTGCTCTGCCTTTTCCCTCCTTGCCATTTGTTTTCTTATTCGTTTTAGTTTCATTGTTATCAGAACTAGTAGTATCATTATGCTTCGTAGTTTCTTAACATTATTCTTAATATTATTACCAGTAGTGTTACTACCTGCTGTTTCTCAGTGTTATTGTATTATGTGTGTTCTTCTGACGATTCTATTATTCTTATCCGTAGTGCATATGTATATATATATATATGTATTATGTTTAGTGTTCCCCCTTATCCTCCTCCTCCTCTTCCTCCTCTGCCTCCTCCTCCTCATTATCATCATGTTTCCCTCTCCTCCTCCTCCTCCTCCTCCTCCTCCTCATAATCACCCTCATCCTGCTAGTATTCGCATGATTGCTCTCATTCGTAATATTATTATCATTCTTTTGTTGTCACGCATGGTATTATGATTATTATTAGTGTTATTTTCCGTATTCGTATCATCAACCATATGCTTATTATCCGTAGTGTTAGTATTAGCGGTACTCGTATTCGTTTCCAGCTTCCTTCTTCGCATTACTATTATTATGGTGTGTTGCTAGCTTTCCGACAGGAGAAGAGCATTCGCAACCCGAAAAATAGACAAAGCGTGCTCGTGTTATTCCTGCTAATCTTCTTCATGTAGCAGCTTCATGCCCATATCTGAGCGACAGAGTGGGGATGCACTTCTTCCTGCCATTGCGTAAGATGTTGCACCGTGGGGCTACGGCAACTGTTACGACGAGCAAAGAAGGCTCGGCCAGCGGGCGCGCGGGCACGCGGTGGGCGGGGCGGTCTTTTCCCCGCGACCGAAACCGGAACAGCTTCGGCAAATCATCGATGTCCGGCGGCGGCGGGGCAGCGATGCTGAGGCAACGCAGGGGCGCGACTTAATCAACTCCCCCCGCGGCCCCCCCAGCGAGCTCCACTCGCACGGGTGGACGTCAACGATTTGTCAACGCCCCGAATTGTGCTTATATACAGCGGCCCGCTGCGCCGCGTCCCGCAGACAGCTCGCCCGCCACCCAGCTCGCAGCGCTCCGAAACGCTCGGCGCATAGCACGGATGCGTCAAGGGGACACTCGTAGCATAGCTGCGCGCGCCCCTCGCTCTCTCCCACTCAACCCCAACTGTGGTCGCCGCGGCCTCAGCTGCTGTAGCCTTGCCAGTTGCCTGGGCTCCAGCTCCAAGGCGACTGCCAGTTGTCGGCGTTCTCTCGCCACGGGGGAGTGGAATCCGTATTCTGCCGCTAGTTGTCGGCGTTCTCGCGCCGTGACGGGGCAGGGTCCATGCGCTGCCGTGACGCGTCGGCTGTTTCACGCCATGGCGGGGCGACGTCCGCGTTCAACTGCGCATCTCTCGCGGCCGGCGGCCCCGGTGCCCCGGCAGAGCTCGATGAAGCGGCGCCCGAAAATGAGCGCAAGACCCATTGCGTCGGGTTTTCAGCTCGGCGACCCCTAGATTCCTGACGATCATATGGCGCGCGACTGCTCCGCCTCTCAGCCCCCTTGCCGTCGCCCTCGGCCTCCTTGCCCTGGCCCCCACCCCTGGCGTCGTCTGAAGTTCTTGCTGCCGCGGGACGGCCCTCAGGCCTCACAAAGTTAGGCCTCTTTTCTCCTTTGGCAGACTGCGCTCTATGGGGGGGGCGCCCACACCGACATAGTCAAGTGGTGCCTGAGCCCCTGGTTCCAGCGTGGTCGGCCCTGAAGCTCCCGGGAATTCCACTGGTGGCCAGTATCTATTTCCCGTTCCATGGCAGCTGTCAAGTCACTGAGAGGCTGGACTTCGGCGCTCCGCGGGGACTCGGCGCGCCACGCAGACCAACCCATCCTGGGCTCTTCGCGGTTGTGGTCTCCCGGGGAAACGCAGTCCCAGGCGAACGGTTCGAGAATGGCATAGCCTTCCTCTTCCACATTCCTCCTGCCGATGCACGGCCACCATGTCCTTAAAGGAACAACAGGATTACTGCCAGTAGCGGGCGTCTCGAGATGAAAGTTCTGGAACTGGATCCACCTTTGGCCCAGGTTCTTGGCCGGGGGCGCGGAGGATGCGCGCGGGAGGGGGGGGGGGGGGGGCAATTTCAAAATAACAAGGGTCGGGGCGGAGGGGGGCGCGCTGGCTGGCGGGCGGGGGGGCGGCGGCGTGGGCGCGTCGCAGGGGGGGGGGGGGGGGGGCGCGCCGAATAACAAACAAAAAACAAACAAAAAAAACATAACAACAAAAAAAAACGGTGCGGAAGGGGGCGCGGAACGGGGGGGCCGCGCCGCGCGGAACGGAAGGCGGGGCGGAGGGGGGGGCGCGCTGGCTGGCGGCGGGGGGGCGCGGTAAGGGGGGCGCGCGAGATGGGGGAGTTGCCGTGTCGAAGTCAAAGGGTCGGGCGGAGGGGGCGCGCTGGCTGGCGGGCAGGGGGGGCGCGGGGGGGGGGCGCGCGGGATAGGAAGGTGCCACAATAGAAAGGGTCGGGGCGGAGGGGGCGCGCTGGCTGGGGGCGGAGGGGGCGCGGAGGGGGCGCGTGGGGCGGGGGGGGGGGGCGTGCCGAAATAGAAAGGTCGGGGCGGAGGGGGCGCGCCTGCGGCGGGCGGGGGATGGCGGCGCGGGCGGTGGGGGGGGCGCGCGCCGAAATGAAACGGTCGGGGCGCAGGGGGCGCGGGGGCTGAGGGGCGCGTGGGGTGGACGGGGGTGCCGCGCAGAAATGATAGGTCGGGGCGGGGGGGGCGCGCTGGCTGGCGGGCGGGACCGCGCGGGGGGGGGGGCGTGCCGGAATAAAAAAGTCGGGGCGGAGGGGGCGCGCTGGCTGGCAGACGAGGGGTGGGGAGCGCGGAGGGGGTGCGCGGGATGGGGAGGGGCCTCCGAATGAAAGGGTCGGGGCGTAGGGGGCGGGCAGGCTGATGGGCGGGGGGGGGTCGGAGGCGGCGCTGGTGGGCGGGGGGTGCGCGGGGGATACGGGGTGGGGTGCCGTGCCGAAATAATAGGGTCGGGGTGGAGGGAGCGCGCTGGCTGGCGGGCGCGGGGAATGCGGAGGGGGCGCGCGGGGTGAAGGGGGGGGGGGGGGGCGGGCCGAAAGAAAAGGGTCGGGGCGGTGGGGGGCGCGCTGGGTCGAGGGGATGCGAGGGGGGGCGCGTGGATGGGGGGGTGGGGTGCCGCGCCGAAATGACAGGGTTGGGGCGGAGGGGGCGCGCTGGCTGGCGCTTGGGGGATGGTGGCGCGGGTGAGCGGAGCGAGGGCCGTGCCGAAATAAAAGAGTCGGGACGGTGAGGGCGCGCTGACTGGTGGGCAGGGGGATGCGGAGGGTGCGCGCGGCATGGGGGGGGGCCGTGCCGAATAAAAGGGTCGGGGCGGAAGGGGCGCGCTGGCTGGTGGGGGGGGGAGATGGGGCGGGGGAGATGGGGGCGCGCCGGGGGCGCGCTGGCTGGTGGAACGGGTGGGTGATGGAGGAGGGGCCGTTCCGAAATAAAGTGGTCGGAGCTCTGGACACGCTGCGCAAGAGAATAAAGGTGTCCAGTGTGACGGCCTTAATCTTCCTCCGTGTCCTCCTGCTTCTCCTTCTTCCCCTTCTTCTCCTGCTCCTCCTCGTCCTTCACATCGCCATCATCCGCATCACCACCACCACCACCACCACCACCACCACCACCACCACCACCATCATCATCATCATCATCATCATCATCATCATCATCATCATCATCATCGTCATCGTCATCGTCATCGTCATCGTCATCGTCATCGTCATCATCATCATCATCATCATCATCATCTCATCATCATCATCATCATCATCATCATCATCATCATCATCGTCATCGTCATCCTCATCATCGTCATCGTCATCGTCATCATCATCATCATCATCATCATCATCATCATCATCATCGTCATCATCATCATCATCATCATCATCATCATCATCATCATCATCATCATCATCATCATCCACCATCATCATCATCATCATCATCAGCAGCAGCAGCAGAAGCAGCATCATCATCATCATCATCATCATCATCATCATCATCATCAGCATCAGCATCAGCATCAGCATCATCATCAGCATCAGAATCAGCATCAGCATCAGCATCAGCATCAGCATCATCATCATCATCATCATCATCATCGTCATCAGCAGCAGCAGCATCAACATCATGATCATCACCACCACCACCATCCTCATCATGCATAGCATAGCATGCATAGCAGCAGCATCAGCATCATCATCAGCATCATCATCAGCATCATCATCAGCATCATCATCGTCGTCATCGCCATCAGCATCATCAGCAGCATCAGCAGCATCAGCATCATCGGCATCATCAGCATCATCAGCACCATCATCATCGTCGTCATCATCAGCAGCATCATCAACAGCAGCATCATCAGCATCACCGGCATCATCATCAGTCCATCATCATCACCAGCCCATCATCATCATCATCATCATCATCATCATCAGCAGCAGCAGCATCATCATCATCAGCAGCTGCATCAGTATCAGCATCAGCATCGGCATCATCATCATCCCCATCCTCACATTCAGGGCAGCGCATCAACAGGCGGACCACGTCTGTGCTCCGCCCTACTCGGCCGCGACGATTGCGGTCGCGACCTCCACCCATTTCACGTGGGGCACAAAACCTTCCTTCATTGCCCGAGTGGCGCGGTGGCCATGGACCACAGGGCCTCTGCAGGGCTGAAGGAGACTGTTGAGCTGGCGAGACGACGCCGCTCCACAACTCGTACACGCGACAATAGCGAAGTGGGGGCGGTCGCAAGCGGCAGGCGTCCGAGAGTGCAGCAGCCTGTGACCAACGCTCCCTCCTTGTCTCTGCACTCTGTTGGCCTCAATGGCCTTCGACCCTACAAATCCTGGACATTCCGAGGACGAGGGTTCTGGCGCCCGGCACCGCGCGCACCAGTTGGCCCCTGGAGGCCCCAGCAGCTCTTGGCTGAGCTTCGGGGACACCACGACGAGGCCCCTCGGGGCCTTGCCGCGGGCCCTGGTCCCAGGTCTCAGCGTAACGGTATGACGCGACTTGACAGCCGAGCCGACCCGCGCGATGAAGTGCGCACAGTCCTCGACCAACACTTAAAACTCAAAACACTTCTTGCGGGCTTGTGGCGACAGCCTCAACTTGGACGCAGCACGCTTGGCCCAGACGTCCGCGCAATGGTTCCCGAACCGATCTCTCAGAAAAATTCAACGGCGGTCGGCGCTGGTCATCATCATCATCATCATCATCATCATCATCATCATCATCACCACCACCACCACCACCACCATCACGACAAGCAGAATAATCATCATTATCGTCATCATCTTCATCATCATCATCATCATCATCATCATCATCATCATCATCAGCATCATCATCATCATCATTAGCATCATCATCATCATCGTCATCAGCATCACGGCTCGCCTAAGACTGGGACTACAAGGTGTCACACGTGACGGCCTCCCGCGCCCCCTCGAGTAATCGCCAGAATGCTGGGCTGGCACGGTGGTGGGACTTGCCGCAGGCAGCTGGATATACCCCCGAAGGGGGCACGATCGTAGACGAAGAGGGCGAGCATCGAGGCTTCAGGGGAGATACATGTTGACTGAGGCGTGAGTGACGAAGGGCGAACGAAGGGCGAACAGTCTTGCAATTATTGTTAAACTTGGGGCCTCCAGGGGCATCCTCTTTTCCTCCTCATCCTCACCAACACCACCATCGTCCTCGTTCGCCGTCGACACAACCCCTCCTACCCCACGACAACGACGACGACGACGACGACGGCAACGGCAACGGAAACACATACAAAAACGACGGACAAGGAGGGGACGCTGACGACGACGACGACGACGACGACGACGACGACGACGAGGACGACGACGGCGGCGGCGGCGGCGGCGGCGGCGACCGCCTCAAGACCTCTCGTGGAAGACTGTCCTACCAGGACCTCGACGCGGATCCAGTCGTGGCCGCGAGGGCGCCCCATGGAGTTCCTAAAGAAGCCAAAAAACGTAACAAGCATAGAAAAGCCTGGAGCTTCGATCGACGACGTCGAGCGACGACGACCGCTACTGGCCCCCACCAGGCGGCACAGAGGCCCAAAAAGGACACACAGAAATACAAACGCATCCACAACCTTTGAAAAACCTCCTGCCTCGATCGATCGATCTACGACGACCACGGGCGACGACGACGGCGACGGCGGTGGCAACGACGATGGCGACGACGACGACAGAAAACGATGCTGGGCGACGACGCTCGACGCATCGATCGATGCATCGATCGACCGATCCATCGACGACGGCGGCGGGCGACGACGACCACTCCCAGGGTGACAACCGCGGCGCCAGCCCAGGCAGGGGCGCCGAAGCCGGCGCGCAGCAGCGGCGCCTCTGCGGCGGAGGGGCGCGGCGGCGGGGAGGAGAAGACGATCGGTGTCTGAGGATCGAGGCTCGAGGTACGAAGTTCGAGGATCGGGGATCGAGGATCGGGGATCGGGGATCCATATCCAATGCATCACGTGGCGGATCCTGCAATCCTCCACGCGTCTGCGGGCGAAGCGCCCCTGACCCAGACCCCGGGACGGACGCGTAGCCCAGCTCGCCACGAAGACCGCGAGACACGGCCAGGACGGGGAGACGGAGGACGAAGAGGGGGAGGACGAAGAGGGGAAAGAGGGGGCGAACGGCGGCAGCGAGCGTGCCCCCAGGCCCCAAACGGAGCTCTGAGTCTCACACAATGCGGTGTGCCCTGGCCCTGTCGGCCACACAGGAAAATCCAAACACGGTCGTTAATCGACACGGAGAAAGGAGGAGGAGTAAGAGGATCTTCTTTCCCATGCTACGCGCACGAGGGCCACGGATTATCTGTGTGAGAAGTGAACGCGTGCTTTGAGGACGGTGCAACAGCCAGGGAATTAAATCGGTGAGCTATACACACACATCCTGACTGGTGAAGGTGGGGAGGGAGGGAAGCGAAGCAGGGAGCTTGAGCCAGGATGGGAACGGACGGCCCTCTCCTGCTCTGCTTGTCACACAAACATGCATCTAAAGATCGAGTTATCTTCTTTCCCATGATACGCGCACGAGAGCCACGGATTATATGTGTGAAAGGTGAAAGCGTGCTTTGAGGACGGTGCAACAGCCAGGGAATTAATTCGAGATTTATTCTGAGTTATACACACACACATCCACAACCAGGAAGCAGACCACATTTGCTCTGGCCGACTTATGCGGCCGAAGATATATGCCCCACCTAGTGCCTGAGCACCCACTGATGGCCTTCAAAGATAAGCACGGAAGTTGTGAGAGTGCTGGGCCAGAAGGGCAACCGAGAAGCAATGCACGAGACGCCGACACAGATTACGAAGGTTGGCTTCGGCGATTCTAATGTAAAACATGGTTTGGGGGTTCTTACCCTCGAGCTGCATATGGGGAATGTTTGAACGTGCACACACTCCACGGCCGCCGCAATGTTTCACCGCGGGGCCGAGGTCGACATTTACTGCTCTGAAACGGGTACGTTTCCTCCAGGCGGCCCCGTCCATACAATAATCGGTGTAAAAGTCCTGGGGGGAGGGGAAGGACAGCGACGACGAGGAGGGGAGGAGAAGGGCAGGGTGACTCCACACCCAGCTCTGGCCAGGATTCTCGATCACGAGCGGGGTCCCCGACCGACGAGCTAGCTTCAAAAGCCCACCACAAAACGAGGTGTGGGCGTTTCCAGTCCTGACAGCCTTCTCATCCCAAGGCTTGAGCCCTGGGAGACCCAAAGGAAAAGACGCAGTCCGAAGGGTCGCGGGCCCAGTGGGTCCGTTGCGAGCTGTACTGAAAGTATTGCACGGGAGACCTATCCACACGGCCCGAAGGGATCCATCCTGGAGCCTCGAGCGCAAAAAAACTTCTGGAAGCTTCGACTCGAGAGGTCATGCTCGGGGCCAAACTTAAAGTCAAACTCGAAAATCGGGACCCCATTGCAGCCTGGGATGCTGTCGCCAGGCCGCGCTGAGGCGGCCTGAGCCTGAGAACAGTTCGGCGGCGAAGCCTCTTGGGAATTCAGAAGCCCTCCACCGCCGTATCAGCTCCGCAGGAGCCACGCGGAAACGTTCTGCGCGGCCGTGTTGGCGGCGCGCTGCACGGCGTCTGGCAGCCCGTGCAGCAGCTGGTTGACTCGACCTCCCTTCTTGTACCTGATCACGGACCGTTCCGTGAGCCACCGACCTCGGTCTTGGATGTCGCGGAGCCCCCGCCAGCCCGTCATCGCATCGTGGGAGGCCCCGCCGTGCCGCAGCATGTAGAGCACCGGCAGCGAGTCGCCGACGAGGCCCACCGCGGTCGCGGCCGCCTCGAAGCCCTTCGCCCACTCGCGGTAGCTGAAGGGGAACACGACCTGGACGCCGCCGCTGCCGCGGAGCTGGGCCAGGGGCCTCTCCAGGAACGCGAACTCCTCCACGTTGTCCACCAGCGCGGTCTCGTCGCGGGCGCCCGTCTTGGACGTGATGGCGAGCTCCTGAGGGCGTGGGACCACGCTCCACTTGAGTCCACGCTGACGTGACTGACGAGGCGGCGGCACCACATCGCACTCCCTCGGCCTGAGCAGCTCGCACGGCCTCAAGTAGTAGATGAAGACAAAGACGACGGCGGCGGCCATGCGCCAGCCCCCCTCCTCCGCGAGCCGCCGCGCCACCAGGCAAGCCGCGACCCGCGGCAGCGGCAACGGCGCCTGCGGCGGGTCGCGGCGGGAGAAGCCCCGGCGGGCCAGCTGCGCTCGGACAAGCTTCGGGCAGCCGGGCCCAGCCTCTGGGCGAAAGTACGCCACCGCCGCCACCATCTTGGACGCCGTGTTCGACCTCCGCCCGTCGTAGAACATCTGTTCGAGCATCTCCACCAGCGCCTCCTCCAGATCGTTCAAGCGGCCCGCCTTGAGCCGCTGCTGCTTCGCCCGCTCCGCGAACCTGTCGCACTGGTCGCGGCACTCGCTCCCCTGTCGCGCCGACGCGGACCGGCGCCCCAGCACAGTCCGCCGGCGCCGGGCGGCCCTCGGCCGCGGCGCGGGCGGGCAGGCAGCCCGGCGGGCCGCCCCGCGCGCCGCCCGCCCCAGGCCGACCTCGCGGACCACGCGCGCCCGGCGGGGCAGCCGCGGCCACCGCGCCCCGGCGTCTGGGAACGCGTCCGCGGAAGCGCAAGTCCCCAGCGAGGCTCAGCGAGGTCGTCGCGGCCGTCGTCGACGCCGCGCCCGCGAACGAGGTCCTCGGCCTCCTGCCAGGGCGGCCCCCCGAAAGGAAAGCGTCTGCTATCCGCCGAGTGCCCGTCGCGCGCGCCAGCATGCGAGCCGCGGCCACGCGGCGACGCGGCCGCGGCCCTCGAGCTCCAGCCTCCGGCGCAGGTGCTCCGGCGCCCGCGCGAGGCCGCGTCGGCCGCGCCCCACTCAGAGGGAAGCCATCGCCACGCTGGGCACAGGTTGGCGGCCAGCACGAGGGCGGCCGACCGCCGGAGAGCACGGCAAAGCCCGCAGGAGGAGCCCCGGCCCTTGGTCCGCGAAAGGATGACGGTCGTGGCATCTCCGAGGACGAGGTGACGCTTGCCGTGAGACGACGACGTCCTGGCCAGGTGATTGAGTGGCCAGGTCGCCGAGCGAGACTCGAGGTGAACTTGGCGCTCTCCAGAGCTCCATCGGAAAGAGGCTACCCGGCACTAGTCCCCCCCCAGACGTGCTCTGGAACAGGAGGTACCTGATCGAACCCACTACCATCGCCACGACGAAGATCGCCCCGAGGATCATGACATTGTTCTTGCCCCCCCGACTTCGAGAATCGCCACCTATCGTTATACGAGCCGATGGTTTGCACGTCCCTCGTGTTGATCGTCCTACTCATGACCCCGCGCCCCCACTCCGAGGCGTCGAAGACATGCACTTTTGAACGCCAGGGGGCATCCAACTCTCGAGCAGCGACGAAGACGAGCGAAGCCATCCAGCGCAGCTCCTGGCACACTGAGGACCAGAGGCGGCCGCGCCCAGACTTGAATTGCTGAGCGAAGGCGAAGCAGGCCTGGGGCGCCGACAGCACCTCCCGGCGGATCAGCCCGCGCGCGGCGAAGTAGCCGGGCAGCGCCGACATCTCACGCCCGCTCGCCTTCCCCAGCTTCACGACGCGCAGGAGCGCCAGCCGCGGCCGCCACGCCGTGCGCAGCGACATCGAGCAGCGCCCGTCCTCGGTGAAGTGCCAGCCGAGGGCGCCCCCGCCCGCGCTGACCTCGGCCTCGCGCATCGGCAGCCCCGCGGCGACCAGGCGCCCGCGCACCCGAGCGACGACGTCCTCCACGACCGCGGGGCCCCGCCCGAAGCACGCGAAGTTGCCCACGTACTCGGCGTGGACGATCGGCTCCAGCCCGGGCGGCGGCCGCCCGCCCACCAGGGCGTCGTGCCCCCCCACGTCGGGCTCGCGGCGCGCCAGGACCTCGCGCAGCGCCTGGCAAGCCTGCAGCGCCAGCGCCCAGCCCATGGGCAGGACCGCGATGGCCGGGAAGACGCGGTCGCCCGGCTTCACGGGCTCGCCGCCCACGCGCGTCACCCCGAGATCCCGCGCCTTGAATGGGTCGAAACCGAAGAGGTCCCGCAGCTCGTCTGGCATCGCGATGGCGTAGCAGGCCGCCTGAAAGTCGGCGCCCCCCAGCACCAGCGGCGGCCATGCATCCAGCTGAAGATTGGCGAAGCATGCTCCACTCGCCAGCTGCACTGGGCCAGGGCCCTCGAAGAAACAGTCGGGGACCCTGGCGTCGATCACCAGGCGCTGCGCGCCCGACTTCTTCCACGCGCTGAAACACCCTACTCGACGACGAACGCTGCGCCGGAAGTCGAGCAGGCTCGCGGCGTAGAGCCGCTTCAAGAACTCGACGTATACTTTGCGACTGCGCAGGGCGGGGCCAGCGCAGGCCCGGCGCAAGCCAAGTTGCTCCAGTCTCGCCGCCCCCTCCACACCGGGAAGCACCTTATCTAGAAGCCTCTTCTCGATCAACTCGCCCGCGGGCCCCGCCGCCTCGCTCAACGTCGCAAGGTAAAAGCCGGGGGGGGGAAGGTCCAGCAGGTCCACGCGAAGAGGGGCCAGCCTGGACGACGCACCGTCGTGGGCCAGCTTGGACCGGAGCTCGTCGAAGGCCCCTGGTCCGTCGAAGTCCTCGGGAGGCGGCCCCAGGTCCAACGCACGCTGGCGGAGATGGTCCAGGGCAAATATTTGCGCCAACGTCGGTCTCGACGCCGGGCGGGGCGACCCGCCGCGGGGGGCCCCGTGCATCTCGTTCAGGGCGTCGACGAGCTCGTCGGTAGCCGCGTCTATCGCTGCCTGACGGAGGTCCCGCCTTCTTGTCGCACGGCATGCATGGGGGGGGGTTGCG